ATTAGATTCCGTGGGCAAGGGGAGTCGGTGGGAGGAAGGGACACTGAAGCAGAACCAGGGTAGGGTTGGAAGGGAGGGAAGTGGAGGCATTGGGAGGGAACTGCACCTGGGAGGTGCCAATGCCTCTTTTTGTGGCCAAGTTGCACATCTAGAATTCCTAGCCTAGAGCTCCAGCATCATGCATAGTGTTGTTTAGATACCACTGCAGTAATGATCTTGTCATGCATTAACCTCCTCACCCATTACCTGTTTATGACTCCCACATCCCCAGTTCATTCATTTTTTATATTTGCATTGACAAGATCCTGTGTGGCAAGCAATAGCTTTGCATGCCCATGAAGAAGTGGTTTCTTAAATGCGCTTATCTAGATGACTCCCATCCGTCTTGGTTCTCCACAGATGTGTGGACAGGACCATGGTTATTTAGGAGAGTGTGCTGACTTTTTCTTTAAAAATATTTTTTTAAATGAATCTTGCAATCTTACCCCCTGCATGTTATGTGCACTTGCAGCATTAGAAGTGCTGAAATACACCTTTAGGATAGCGTTAGCCCTTTTGTTACCCTTCTGCAGCTGCCCATTCACTATCTAGGCTGCATCATGCACATACTGCTAGATACTGCCCTCTTTTTGCACTGTAGCAGTTATTTGCCACTGGATTTTCCTGTGTGGATAAGGCAGTCCAGTTGCCAATGGTTACCGTAGGGCAACAGTAGCACAGTATTCAGTAGGGAGTGAATGCAGCCTTTAGGCTTGGGTCCTAAGCCTTGTTCCACTTTTTGCTGCACTGTGAGCTAAAGCAGAATGAGGCACCATGTTGCATGGGGGAGTGGGAGCAGAAAGTCAAGAATGTAAATAGCTCAAGGACGTGATGGGGTGGGGGGGAACAAGCTACAACAATCGTCCTTAGAATCAGCTGCGAGGTTATCCTCAAGTGTGTACGTATATGTGTGCTGCTTTGTTTTTGTGTGCATGAGCGATGATTTCAGACCCGGTTTACCATGAAGGCTTCAGCGGAGTGATCCATCACTTTGCTCTCCCCCTGAAGAGCTTGTAGGAAGCATAAACCATGTCAGGATTTTTATGAGTATCTTGACATATGGGATTTTTCTACAGGACTTAGATTCCTTTCTAATAAATTGCATCTCTCTTCTTATTTTCAGTTTTCTCCTTCTGTTTTTGCAAAGTGAAGCCCGATGCCAGAGCATGGGGTCTTTTTTAGCGGAGAGCTTAGTCTTTATCTACAGATTGCTTAGGCCTGGAAAACCAAGGCCATGGCTTCTGTCGTTGCCTTACAGGAGAGGGATTGCCTCTGTCTCAAGCCTGTTGCCTTTCTCTTCTTGCACATGTGAAGCTCCAGAGAGAGCCTTTCTTTACCACAGGGGCTTTCCTCCAACTGTGTCCAGGGAACTCTGGGGTTCCTCAAAGATACTGGTCCAACTGATGATTTGGAACCCGGATAGGGTCAACATGCATCTCTTTAAAAAACTGTTCAAAGAATGGGATGGGAAAGAGAAAGCAGAACCAAAAGATGGAGAGCATAGAAGGAGGTAAGGAGAAAGTGGGGGGGGGGAGAAGCAGAGAAATGGTTGAAAGTGTGTCACTTGTGGTGGGCTGGGCTTAAAGGGGGGTGTATGGAGTCTGAAAAGGTTGAAGGCTACTACTCAGAGAGAAGGACAGTGCTGATTGATAACCTTCCTGGAAGGTCAGTGGGGCCAGTATAACCAGTCTTGTCCAGCAACATGCAGTGGCAGTTAGGGTTGCCAAGTAAAAATATCCTACCGGCGGGGGAGCCTCGCTGGGCTCCGGGAGCTGTCCTCTGATGCGCGCGTGCTTTGCGCGCACGCACCACCAGCACGTCACCGGAAGTGACGCGTGAAGTTGATCACGTTGAAGGTGTGGCCCCGATCGTCGGAGGAAAAACCATAGAGTTTTCCCTCCGATGATCGGGGCCACGCCCCCACGCTGCACTTTGGGGGGCGGAGTTCCCCCGGGGCCCGATTCCGCAGCAGCGGAAATCGGGCCTCCGAAGCGGGGGGTTACCCGCCACCCACCCACTTGGCAGCCCTAGCAGTAGAGTCTTGGGTGTGTACAGTGCACTCCCAGCTTACACAAAGCAAAAGTGAGGCCCATGTGGGCCTGGCCCGTGTCCCTGTATCCTATGTGGAGTTACACCAGTCTAACTTAATCAATTTCAGTGGGTTTAGACTGGAGTATCTCATACAGTTGCACGGTAAGAGTGCCGCTCACAAGGTGTCTGTAGCACACATGAGCTGATGCAGAAAGAGTTACTTCAGCATAAATGTTGCACACACACACACACACAAAAGTTGTGCTGGCACACACATGGGTTCCCATTGCATTTTCTAAGTGATTTTTAGAACAGCACACAATAGGTCGATACCGCTTGCCCTTGAGCATTTCTTGGTTGGGATGGAACTACGTGTGATCCTTGTTTCATAAATGTTTTCCTGTTCAGCCCCTAAGAAACTGGCTAGTTTTGCACTGATCCAACAGTTAATTCCTTTTCAATCCAAAGGGTGAGTGGATCAAACTTGAACTTCTTGTGTGTTTGACCCTTGATGAGAACAGGTATTTAGAAGTTTTCACAGTCAGTCAGACCGAACATTGAATGCCTCCTGTCAAATTGATCCTAACGATATATGCTTACAATAAAAAGCAAAGTAGTTATGCTTGGAAGTTAAGCTTCACTCATGCATGGTAGCCACCAAAACCCATGTCAGGTTGGTGGGGTTTGCTATTTTGTGGCCAACATTTATGCAATCTTCAGAAAAATGCTTTTTTAAAAAAAACCCTGACTGCATGGTTAATTCCTCTGCCAGCATTGGATCAAGTGGGATTCTTGGGGAACAAAGGTGACCTAGAGACAGCCCCCCATCACCTGGTTTCTGCTTGGACATGTGATGAAGGTGCCATGGAACTTTTTGATTACACAAAAACAGAAGCAGCTTGCTGGTGGCAACCACACAGAGATTAGCATGCATGAATTGGGGTCACTTTTTTTATTCAGGTGTGATTCACGTTCTTGTAAGTACCTTCAGGATCTCTGCTTTTCCGTGAGTGTCGACGTTGGAATCCATGGGGTAGCCTTGCAGTGGCTTACCTCATTTCTCCATGGTCCACAGAGGGTGACGCTGGCAGATTGTCAATCAGGCACCCGCTAGTATGTGGGGTCCCCCACGGGAAATCCTCTCTCCCCGATTTTATTTACCATCTGAATACGCTCTCTCACCCAACTGGTGTGGAGTTTCGGGCTGAGATTTCACCAGTACGCTGATGACAACCAGCTATATCTGTTGATGGACAGCTGGCCAGATACCAGTCCTGCAAATCTGGCCGAGGGTTTGGAGGTCATAGTGGGATGGTTAAAGCAGAGTCTGTTGAGGCTGAAGCCTGGTAAGATGGCGGTTCTGTGGCTGGGTGGGACACAGAATTGGGATGCCGACTCCCGGCCCTTGATAGTGTGCCCTGAACACCAGCCCCAACAGTCAAGAGCCAGGGTGTGACACTGGATGCCTCCCTGTCAATGGAGGCCCAGATCACGAAGGTGGCCAGACTGGTGTTTTTCCAGCTTCATCAGGTCAGGCAACTAGCTCCCTACCCATCTCGATCTGACCTAGCCACAGTAATCCATGCAACGGTCACCTCCAGAATAGACTACTGTCACGTGTTCTGCATGGGCCTACCCTTGAGACTGACCTGGAAGCTCCAACTGATCCAGAACGTGGTCGCACGGATCCTTATCAGGACCCCCCACACACATGGTGCACATTCAACCTATGCCGAGTGAGCTGCACTGGCTTCCAGTGGAGCACCGAGCACCTTTGGGACCTCTCCCAGTATACCCCCAGAAGAGCTTTACTCTCAGGATGTCCTCAACCAGGGCCAGGGCTTTTTCTGCCCAGGCGCCTACTTGGTGGAACTCTCTGCCAGATAACATCCATGCCCTGCAGGATCTGCTATCTTTCCGCAGGGCATGTAAGGCAGAGATGTTCCACCACGCATTTGGTTGAAGAAGAAGAAGAAGATAAGAGATTGGATTTATACCCCACCCTTCACAACCCAAAGGTGTCTCAGAGCAGCTTACAAACTCCTTTCCCTTCCCCTCCCCACAACAGACACCCTGTGAGGTAGGTGGGGCTGAGAGAGCTCTTGACAGAAACTGCTCTTTTTCAAGAACAGCTGTGCCAGAGTTAGGGCTTGCCCAAGGTCATCCAGCCAGGTGCAAGTGGAGGAGTGGGGAATCAAACCGGTTCTCCCAGATTAGAGTCCACGCACTTAACCACTACGCCAACTGAGGACAGCAATGGCTGTAACATAGTCTGGCACTCTTCCGCCTTCCCATCTCCTCCATCCTCCCTCCCCTATGAAGTTGTGGCCTCTTCTGCAAACTTTTCGCCATCAGATGGACTGGACTATGTTAAATATTTTAGGTATGTTTTATATTTCAATTCTGGAATGTTAATTAATTTATAAATTGTATTGGGATTTATTATGCTGTATGCCACCCTAAGCCCTGTTTTTCAGGGGCTGGGGGCCCCCTAAAAGTCTAATTTAATAAATAAAATAAATTAATGCTGCTATGAGCAAGATCTCTGTGAGCTGAAAGCCATTTCACAAATTAGGTCGGGGTGAGTCGACGTTTGCCAGACCATGGGCCCTGTAGACAAGGCCAGCGCCTGGATCCTGCACATCCGTCTGCAGCCGGTTTGCATGTTAAATTCACACGTGCTGTTGTTTTAAGGGGACACTTTTCTCTTAAAGTAACGCGTGACGGGCTCCCGAGAGCTTGCAGCAGGGGGCGTCCTCGCAGCCTCCCCCCTCTCTGTGCCTGCCGGGTTTGCCCTCGCCCCTCCCTGCGGCGCACTCAGTACAGTCTGGAGGTTGGGGATGGGGGAGAGGGAGGCGGCTTTTCGGGAAGCTCATGATGTGGCTTTTTTCCCTGCGGCTGCCAGCTGATGCTGCAAGCCGGCGCACAAGCGGCTGCGGCCACGCTAGAGCCGCCGAGGGCAGCCGCCGCCAGTGTAGGAATGGGACGACGGCCGTGTGGGGAGGGGTCCCCGCCGCCTTCAACTGCTTCCCCAGCCCAGTAGGGCGACCAGGACCCGAGGGACAGAGGCGGGCTGGTCGCGCTTAACCCGCCACGCAAGGGCAGGGCGCGCTGCACCAAGAGCCCCCCGGAGCTCCGGCGCGCCTCCGCAGGCAGCCTGCCCGGTGGCGGCGGGGCGGGAGGAAGCCGCTGGCTGCTGCGAGGCGGGGCAGGGAAGCGACGATGGCTCACGGCTAACCACATCCGCGCCGGATCGGCCCCGCAAGACTGGCGCTTCTTTCGCCGGCTTCCCTGCCCTGCCCCTCCATTTTGAAGGCGCTGCGGCGGCAGACCGAGGCGGCGGCGGCCGTCAGAAGCGCGCCCCGATGGCGTTCAGCTCGTCCTGGCAGCTCCTGTCTCCCGTGCAGTGGGCCAAGTGGACGTGGTCCGCGGTGCGAGGCGGAGGGGGGCCCGAGCAGGATGCCATCGCCGGCGGGGACGGGGAGCTTCAGGCGGCGCCGGGGCTGGAGGACGACGACGAGGAAGCGCAGGCGGAGACCAAATCGCTGAGTCTCAGGCAAGTCCACGCAGCCTCGACATGCCTGGATTCGGAGTGAGCCTTTCACACGTTACGCGGGGACGGACCCGGGTTTGCCGCTGGGCGTACTGCCATCGACCTGGGATCCGGGTTGGCTCACTTGTGTATGCTCGTGTCTTAGGTTTTTTGGGGTACCCTTTTATGGATATATGGTTCACACGTGTGTGTTTGGTCTGCTATGGCAGCCTGAGCTCCAAGCACTTTCAGTGGATTCGGTTGGATGGTGGCTATTTAAGTGTAAACACAGTATAGGCATCTGTTAACCAGGCCTTGATGAGGGGAGCTGAATGTGTGAAATGACCCCACTGGAAACGTTGCATTTGATATCCAGAGATGGTTTTCTCTCGCTCTACATCTATAATGGCCAGTTCATTAATGGGAGTTATTGATTGATGCTGCACTGAGCAAATGGGAAATTGTTTATGTGTGAACGGGCCTTTGAAATTGCAGGTGTACCCAATCAGACCTCCCTTAGGAATGTGCCCCTGTAATGTACACCTGCTAGGATCGCCGTTTAAGCATAGAATGTATGAAGTCGCTTTTTTATTTGTTGGTGAATCATGTTGAGCCGGGGTTTAACCCTTTGAGCCCAATCAGAATGCCTGTGTGCAACTCTGAAGGAAGGTGGGAAGTATTAATGAAGCATGTCCTCTGAGCATGTGCAAAATGTGTGAATCTCACCACTGGGATAATGCAAAGCTGGGCCTGCCTTGGGTACTCTGTGATAAGAGAAATGTATTCTGCACATATTCTGAGAGACCACACCTCAGGAAAATTAAAGGGGATGTGGCTTCCTGATTTACAATACCCACATTTTGGGAGACTGTGTGGAATCCCAAGACTTCTTTTTTTAGGAGCCAAGATTGTCTGAAAGCCAATTCACCCTTTCAAGCGCAATTTCTTCCACCCAATAGCAGTTCAGGTATTGTGGTCTGGTTGTGGTTGTCGGGGCAGTCTGCACATGCTCAGAGGCTCTTTGCTCTTTACCACTTGCTCCAAGACTGAGATGGCGAACGGGAGTGAAAACAAAACTCTGGAGGAAAGCCTTTGTTAAGATAAAGCCCTGTCTTTAAACAGTCGAAACAACACATCTGTTCGGTGGCTGGCAAAATGAGAAGGCCCAGGGTGTAACCCAGCTCAGCTGATGCACCTTTTGGATTGTGAAGCCCTTCCTTCTCTTCTGTCCCTGATCTCTCTGGAGGCAGTCATGTGGTACAAGAGAGGCACTTTGCACATGCTTAAAAAAACATTTATTTATCACAGCTTTGCCTTCAGCCCAGGTGCAACAAACAGGGCCTCTGTAAGCTGTTCAGGAGAAAGCCCCTTTTCATGTTAAATGCAGCTACTGGTGTGTTTTGCGGCAGTAAGATGCAAAAAGCTGTGTCCATGTACTGAGGAGCCATGACTAGTTGTAATTCCTTGTTGCATGTGCCAGAGTGTTCGGGGATGTGCACCCACCCCATGTCGCATTATGTTGGGCACTGGTGGCCAGAGGGCAGGATCTGGCCTTCTGAGGGCACGCCACCTGCTCTCTGTTGCCTTTAAGAAGCAACTGGGTGGGGAGGCAAGTCATAGATACAGGAAGGTAGACTTTTGCTGTCTGCTTTGAAGAGATGGTGCACATGTGCTTTCTTTCTACCATCCATCACCTCAGAGGGGCCAACTCATAAAACCAATTGCTGACCTGGGCTTTATGTGGGAAGTCGTACTGTACCCAAGCTGACACATAACCTGTGAAGACAGTGATGAGTTTACATTTTGGGAGTTCCTCCTATGTCTGCTTGCAGCTCTGACTTCTTCCTCACCTGGGGCGTCACCTCCCACGGAGTCCAGGGTGCTGTCTCCAATCCATGTCAGCCACTATGCCACCTCTGTGCCAACTGTCACCGCCTCTGTCTTTCTGCTTTTACCATTGCTTTACCTCCCACATAGGGTAGCCCTGCACCTGCTGCTGGGAGACATTGGTACCCAGTGACAGGCCACAGTAGATGCCCTTGCTGAGTGGAAGGATAAACAGGAAGGCAGGTTTCTTTAGGTACAAACACAGCAGCGAGAGGACTTGAACAGTGTGCGTGTGCTTGGCAGAGAGAAGGCGACCTTCGTGCTGTGTCTTTTATGTTTTGGGTGTGTGTGTGTCTCCAAGGTATTAACATTTTTCCTCCCTCTTTCTTGTTCTTCACATATCCAGAGTCCCTCGACATGCAGTGAAAAACAGGCCCCACACAAATCATGACCTTTTCATTTCTGTGTCCTTTCTGGCTTGCTAGTGGGGGCTGCATGCCCTTGAGAAGAGCTGCGGCCTCAGCCGTTCCCTCTGGGTGGAATTGCCATCTAGCACTGGGAGACGGGGAACAGCAGGAAACATGTTTAATTTAACAAGCTGTGATTTATTCAGCCAGATCAACACCATAGGGGCAGCCAAGGCGTTGGGGAAACTGCTTTTTTTCTTCGGCTTGGCAAAGTCCAGCACACGTGATGATGGCAGCTATAGCTGGGTCACTAATTCCATGTCCTGGAAGCTGATATTCCAAATCCTAGGTTTTGTTAAGTATCATTGTGTTCTCTCCTCCTCACTGAGGGAAAGGCATTTGGCACATGCTTACAGTTGCTATCTATTTGACACGTTTTCAGGGCTGAATGAATCATGGTGGAAGGGTCTACCAAAAGGCTCTTAGCTGTGATAGTGCTGTAGAACCTCCATGTCTAGTCGCTGTGAACCTCTGAGTACAAGATGCTGGGAATAAATAGCAGGGGATGGATGGCACCTTCCTGCCCTGGCTGTGAGCTTCCCGGGGCACGTGGCTGACCACTGGTGGAAATAGTGCCCTGAACTAGGTGGACCTTGGGTCTGAACCAGCAAGGCCATTCTTCTGAGACATCCTGACTGCTCAGCAGAATTCCGGAAGGTTGGTAAGCCCCTACCCAAGATTGTATTCCGGGCTGATTTGGAAGTGGTTAATTCGTCCTTCTCTCCCCTCCTCTTTGGCAGTTCGGATTCGGAAGGCAATTTCGAGACCCCCGAGGTGGAGACCCCGATACGCTCACCAGGGAAGGAGCTCCCCCCAGACCCGTCCTTGCAATTGTTCCAGTCTGAGGTCGAGTCCCAAGGTAAAGAGGCGCTGAGCTATTCCTTTCATCCCCTTTGTAATGAAGCTGGATGGATGCAGTTATGTTGACTGCTGGATGATGGTTTCTTTGACCTTGATACTGAACCTGATCAGGTTGCATATTCGTGTACCTTGGTGGGTGGGTCAGTAGCCTCTCTAAAGTGGTACAGGGATGACTTTGGTGTGATATAAGAAGCTGCCTTATTCTGACGCCAGTCACTGGTCCATTTAGTCCAGGACCATGCATGACAGAGGGGTGTGTTTCCAGCTGGCTGAGCTGTAGCTGCTACCCATTTGGTAAGACAGAAAACCTTTGGCTAGAGCCGTGTGGTTCCATGATTATAGTGCAAAAGCACAGAAAATGACGTCAAGGCCAGGATTCAGCTTCCTTAGCTGTCGTTTAAAAAACAAACAGGTATTTAGTTCTTAAGGCTGCAACATAGGCTTGAAAACATGTCAGCAGTGTATATTCAGCTCTTAGACTTTGGGTTTCATTTTCCTCCACGTAAAGCTCTCCAGCAAATAGCAGAAGTAGAATTTATGTTAAACACATACAGACATGTTCATTTTTGTTATATGCACCTGCATGCACAAGTTGGGAACTGGAAGGGACTTTCAGGGAAGGGGGAATCTCTTTCTGCCCCCCCCCCTGCTTTCTCCCCTTTTGCTCTGCCGTTCTTCCTTGACCTTCTTCCCTTGCTCTGTCTCCCCTTCCTCCCCTGCCTGTGCTTGCTCTTTTATGCCACACCCCATCCACTTCCCCATCCCTTGCAGCCCCACAGTGTCTACTCCCCTTTTTGGTAGTGTGGATTTTTAGATGCCATTTCTGTTTGCTTTGGTAACCTAAATGCACATGCACAGATGATGCAGTGGCTGTTGGGGGATTCATTCCCTAATTTAAAATTTTTTGAGTTTTTAATTTTTGTGTGGGATTTCCCCTAGGTTTGCAGAAACAACTGTGTTAGTTCTGAATGGCCTTCTCCTATGGATTGTTTTGATCTGTTGGGGTGGGGGATACTTGCCTATTAGGTACATGGTGTATCTGTGTGTGTATGAGAGAAAAGCAGTAGGGTTCCTGGCACAGAATTTTTATTTTTCACACCTCTAAAGGACACAGAGCTGTTGTTGTTGTGACCAGGAATGTTGGCATGGACATTGCTGACCTTGTTGTGTGCCTTTCTGGTTTTGTTTCTAGTTGAAAGGGTTATGTTTCTAGACCTCATGACTAGGAAACTGCAGTTTTCAAAATGTCTGTGGAAAGTTCCCTCTGTTGATTCCATCTTCATGGCCTCCAGCCATGTTTCCTTTTAGTCACCACTCTCACCTCTCTGTTTCCTACCATCTCCTTGCCAGTATTTGGTGTCTTTGTTGCAGATGTCATTGAAATGAACGGGAGCCATGCTGGAGCATTGCGGCTCATTTCCAACAGGCTTTCTCAGGAGATCCCAGATGTTCTAGGGGTCAGAGCTATGCCATGTTACGCTCTTCTGCCGTTAATGGCACCAGCAATGGGCTGCCTCTCCTATAAGCAAACCTTTTAAGCAGAATATAATACACTTAGCATTTACATTGTGCTTTCAGTGCTCATAGCTCTTCAGACTACATGGTCCTTATATGATCCCTTGTAAGGATGGCCGCTGCTGTTATGCCAGAGAAGGGGCTGAGCTGTAGGCCACCCAGTGAATTCATGACACAGACGAGACCGAGGACCTTCGTGGAGGCCAGTGCCCTTCACCAGCTCCTATGAAAGAGGAAACTTGCTGGGGGTTGTGCTTTCCCTTCTAAGCCATACTGGGCACAGGTGAAGGACACAAGAAAGCCCCTTTGGAACAGGGCTTGTAGAAGCTGGAGAATGGAAAGTTCTCTGCTAAACCCTAAGCAGGCTTCTCGAACAGCAGTAGGTTTTGTGGGGTGGGGCTTGGGTGTGGGTAGGGAAGCTGCAGCAGCGGGTTAGCTGAGCTATATAAGGAAGAACAGAGTTCTGCGTGCTCTGTGTAAGGAACCATACAGGGAAGTGGAAGAAAACCTTTGTTGCAGCTCTAAGTTATATTGCATAGCAGTTTAACCCCATGGTGGTTCTTCATCGGCTTCAGAGCTTTCCAAAATGGGGATTTTGTTGGAGGGGGGACCCTTGATGGGAAGATCACTCCTGGCAGCCAAAGTTCCTTGGGAAACGGCTAGCCCAGCATAGCCCTGATTTGGACTGAGGGAAACACAGAGGAAGGGCTTTGCAAACCTTTCTCTCGGCGCCGTTTTTCAGATCTAAAACTTTGCCAAGTCACTCTTTTGCTTTTAGAAAGTCAAGGCTGCAACTTGACACCAGCAGCATTTTGGCCAGGATGCTGAGAGGGATGGTGCTTGAGTTCCTGACCTCTCCAGGCTCCACCCTCAAATCTCCAGGAGTTCCCCAACCAGGAGCTGGCAACCCTACCTCCCCACCCACCCCCCAGTGGCAGCCAGAGGGGACCTGGTGGCACTAGTTTCAGCTGCATCAAGGGGGGGGGGCTGTGACGTGTCTCCAAACATTGCAACTGTTTGATGGCCTTTTTGTCTGATATAATAGATCTTCGACCATTTTTGTGCCTAGCAGAATTGCTGATGAGCACCACATCCCTAGAGTCAGATTCGACTGGCTTTCGAGCAAGGGAAACCGTTACCTTTACTATAGCAAATATTGGGGGTCCTCTGTTAACAGAAGCTGTCTTCAGCTTTAGTGGGAGATTCCAGCATCCTGTATGTTTCATAGCATTCCTCCCCCACCTTTCCCCCTCTTCGCCTTTTAAGACACCAGAATTGTTTCATAAAAGAGGAAATGGCACTTCCTGCCAGCAAGGATCTGACTCATAGCTGAAGCCCACCCGTATAACTGTGCAACTGCTTCTTGCTTCCTGTGGGGCATTTTGGTGCTCTGACATCTTTGTAACAAATGTGTTGGGTGTTGCAGCCCGTTGGAGACACTGCTTGTCACTCTGTTCATTTGGTAAGGCTGGCCTTATTGTTTTTTGTTGCTGTTGCCAAATGAGAAGGAACCGAGGCCTCTTGCTGCACCCCCTTGGAGGGTGGAGGCGGGATCCAGGGGCATCCACCACTTCATTTGGCAGCTCTCAGTTTGTGTACAGGACAAGCCCTGTACCCTGGCATAAATTCAGACCTCCTTTAGCCACAGGGATACTTTGCCAAAAAAATTCCCAACAATTGGCCAAATGGCATTTGGTGAATTGTTTATAAC